TATATTTGAGAGTTGGATTTACTTTATATTGGTCTTCTTGTTGTAGTTTTAAACGGGTGAACCTGTCTCAAACGTATTCCAACACAATGTATTAACCTTCCAGCAAAATCAATTTACCCTCCAACCGTTTATATTGTGTAAATATTTATCTTAAAAACAAAACATTTCACAGATTAAAAGATAAAGTTCGGGATTTTTAGAACGTGATTGTGTTTCACCGGGTGTTTTTTTAAATCATAAAATCTACCAATGTTTATTTTGAGATTAATGAGGGATAAATATATATTAAAAGATTCAACTGTTACTTACAAACAAATTTCAATCAAACTTTAATTTATGCTGACTAAATATTTAAAGACTATTTCTCGAATTTTATCTCGTTTTTTAATTCTTTTAAAAAGAAATAAACAGAAATCAAAATGGTCTGTAATAAACAGTATTCATTCCGTGTAATTAGACCTTAATTTTTTAAATTTTATCAAAACTATCCATGTTATTGAGCTTCAAATGACCCAAGCTCACAATAGACTGACTAAAAGGGGAAAATGTCCAATCATGTCGATATGTCCAAGGAAAAAATAATTACATGGTACTTTTTGTTGGTTTTTAAATGATTTTTACCTATGTTCCTTTAATTGTTTTCTGGGAATGCTTAGACAGTTTTTCTAGTGTAAGCGTTTTTTTTAGATAAATTGACACAATGAACCGACCTGACAATTAGATTACTATTGATTTAAAGTATTTTTTCCTTTTTTGTCACATTCAACAAGTTTTTTAAGAGATGGAGTAACTGAAAGCCACTATGACTGACCAAAAAAGAAAAAAGTCATTTATGATGTACCCAGGGAAAAAGTTAATTTCAACAGAACTTTTTTGTTTTTTACTTGGAACTTGTCTTAAAAATAATTAGGCTGGAAAACAATTGGACAAATAGTATAGTGTAGATTTTTTATGTAATTTTAACCTTTATTTCTTTAATGCTTCTTCATGAATTTTTATGCGATGAAGTAACTACAAACCACAATGACTGATCAAAAGAGAAAAAAAGTCATTCATGATTTACCTGGGAAATAGTTACTATCAACAGGACTTTTTTTGTTTTTTATTTGGAACTTGTCTTAACGATAATTGGGCTGGAAAAAACCTTTGAAATATAATAACAACGTTTAGAGGTTTTATATAATTTTAACCTTTATTTCTTTTATGATTCTTTATGTTTTTCAGCTGAGTGAAGTAACTAAAAATGTAGGAACTGTTCAGAAATGAAAAGAAATGATTTCAGCAGGAAAACAACATTTAATAGGACATTTTAGAGAGTTTTAACGTGTCTTAAAAACAATTAGGGTGGAAAAAACTTTGAAAAATAATATCAACGTCTAGATTTTTTTATATAATTTTAACCTTTATTTCTTTAATGCTTCTTCATGAATTTTTATGCGATGAAGTAACTACAAACCCCAATGACTGACCAGAAGAGAAAAAAAGCCAGGGAAATAGTTACTATCAACAGGACTTTTTTTGTTTTTTACTTGGAACTTGTCTTAAAAATAATTAGGTTGGAACACAATTTGAAAAATAATGTAGCGGGTAGATTTTTTTATGTAATTTTGCACATCCCATGTATTTGTTGGTTTTTAAATGATTTTTACCTGTTTCTTTAATTGCTTTTTGGAAATGCTTGGTCAGTTTTTCTTGTGTATGCCTATTTTTAGAGATAAATTGACACCAGAGCTAATCTTAGATTAATTAATTAGATTAATGAAAAAACTATTGTAAAATAATCGTCGAGCAGTATTTAATTCTAATCTATCGTTATCTAATTGTTTTGCTCAAACACTGTCCACTTTCGTTACAATGTTTTTCAGTGATGAAGTAACTAAAATCGACAATGATTGACCAAAAGAGAAAAAAGTCATTCATGTCGTTCTACCTAGGGACACAAGAATTTTGTGGGCTTTTTTCGTAGAACTTGTCGCAAAGATTAATGAAAAAACATTGTAAACTTATTATCATTTATATAATTTTAAATGGTCTTTTTTTTAATCGATTTGCATGAATGGTTAGTCAGTATTTCTTGCTTTTTGGTTACAATTCAAGAAATTGGACTAAATGATTAAAAACCATAATGAATTGACGAAATAGATAAAAAGTCATTCATGTCGATCTACCGAGGGTTAGTTAATGTTAACCCAACATTTTTGTGGACTTTTTACGTGGAACCTGTTGTCAAGATTAATGAAAAACTTATCATCGTGCAGTTTTTATATGATTTTAAATAGTCTTTTTTAATCAATTTGTATGAATGGTCAGTATTTCTTGCATTTTATTACAATTCAATAAATTGCACTAAATGACTAAAAACCCTGATCAAAATAGAAAAAAAAGTCATTCATGTCGATCTACCCAGAGAATAGTTAATCTTAACCCAAGATTTTTGTGGGCTTTTTGAGTAGAATTCGTCTCAAAGATTAATGAAAAACAATTGTAAAATTGTTATCATCGTGCAGTTTTCATTTAATTTTAATCTGTCTTTCTTTAATTGTTTTGTATGAATACACAGTATTTCTTTTTCTTCTTCTTTCTGACTCAATTCACCAAGTTTGATTCAAGGGTGAAATTACTAAAAATGACAATGGACTGACTATAATGAAAAACGCCATTTATGTCCATCTACACTGAAATAAGTTTTGACAAAGGGTTTTCCTTTTTTGTTACGGAGATCGGAAAGACTAAAAGGAACGAAAAACGTAGCACATAGACTTACACCATACAGTTGTGTGAATACTAAGACAGTGGCATTTTTTCGAAGTATCCGAGTTTTTCAATGACACAATGAAAAAAAAGGAGAACGAACAGGTCATTTCCCTAATGAATATTTCTGTTTGTATATAATTTAAACCTTATACATTGAATTTTATTATATATCGTCCAGTTTTTTCATAGATGGAATGATAACAAACCTATGTAGATTGGCCAAAATAAATTATTCATGTTCATAAATCTAAGGAAACTTTTCTTTTAACATGTCATCGTTGATAGTTTTTGGTATAGAACTCGCCTCAAAAACAAAACACCTAGGTAAACAAGAATTAATAAAAAGAATATTACCAGTTTTTATATAATTTAAACTGGCCTTTTTCTAATTATTGTCATAAAAAAAACATAAAGAGAATATTTTGAGTTTTATTTTCTTCAAGTTTTATTTATCTTCTTTAGGGAAAAATTACTCTTAAGGGAAGGTTTTTGTGGGTTTTTACGCAGGAATAAAAAGAACATTCGTAGTCGGTTTTTAATTCAAATTTAATCTTTCTTTCTTTAATTTGTTTAATATTGCTTAATGATGAATCCTAATGAACTGACCAAAAGAGAAAAAAGTCATTCTTCATTCACCCAGGGGAATAGTTACTCTTAACAGAAGGGTGAGTGTGTTTTTTTAGGTAAAACTTGTATCAAAGATAATTAGATTAATGAAAAAACGATTGTAAAATTATTATCATCGTGCAGTTTTTATATAATTTTAATCGGCCTGTCATAATTCGCCAAGTTTATTTTGCTTTTGTTTTTTACAGGGATGAAATTACTAAAAAAAACTCAATAAACTGACAAAAAGAAAAAGTCATTTATGGCGTTATACTTAGGGACAATTTACCCCTAGCACGACGTTTTGGTGTGTTTTTACACAAGAATTCTTGGTAAACTTGTCTCAAAGATATTTAGATTAATGAAAAAACAATTGTACAATTATTATCATCGTGCAGTTTTCATATAATTTTAATCGGCCAGTCTTTAATTGTTTTGTACAAATGGTTAGAGAGTATTTCTTCCTTTTTGTCATAATTCGCCAAGTTTATTTTGCTTTTGTTTTTTACAGAGATGAAATTACTAAAAAAACTCAATGAACTGACGAAAAGAAAAAAGTCATTCGTGGCGTTATACGTAGAGACAATTTTCTCCTAGCACGACGTTTTTGTGTAATTTTACGCAGAAATTCACTAATAAAAAGAACATTTGCGGGCACTTTTTAATTCAAATCTAATCCTTCTTTCTTTAGTTTGTTTATTATTGCTGAATGGCGAGATAGTAATCTTTTACGTTTTATCAAAAATGTTTATGTTTTTTAGCGATGAAGTGATTAAAAGCCACAACGAACCGACTAAAAGAGAGAAAAAATCATTCATGTCGATCCCCCAGGGAAAGAGGTACTCTTAATTAGACGTTTTTGTTGGTTTTTTACGTCTGAAAGATAATTAGTCTGCAAAAACGCATTTATACAAAATCGTCAGGGGGAAGTTTTAAATGTAATTTTAATCTGTTTCCCTTTAATTCGTGTCGAATAAAATATATACAGAAAGTATTTCTTGCATTTTCTTATTTATTATTATCTAATGTTTTTTTACATTGGGGAAATGTCAAAGAAACCGCCAGCCACTGATCAAAAAGAAAAAGTCATTCATGCCAATTATACCCAGGAAAAGGTTACTTTTAACGAGACGTTTTTGTGGGTTTTTACGTAGGGTATGGTCTCAAAGATAATTAGACAACTAAAATCATTAAAAAAAAGTGCAAGTTTCTGTATTTTTTCCAATTGAAATGCCATTAAAAAACATAGAAAGATGGAAAAATAAGTTATATCGATAAACCTAGTGCAATTTTTTTAATAAACTCATATTTTAGATAACTAATCTGTATTTTTAACCCCAATTATTTTATTTTTTTTTATTGGGCTTAAATCAATATACGGTGTTCATTGTTTGCATTTTTTGAGGCTCAATTTATTTTAGCTTTAAGTTTGGATGATGAATTTTTTTTTGTTTATGTTTTTCAAAGAGATAGTTTTGTAAATTGTCTCAATTTGGTACCAGTTTTGTTCGTCATGACTGGAATATTTGTTTAAAATATATTTCAGAACTTACAGATTTTTAAATATTTAACAGTTTTCTTTGTTTTGTTTTTTTATATTATTTTTTTAATGATGTTTTATCGTTTGTTTTTTTACGTACTTTGAGTCTTCATGCTCGTCGGTGTGGCAGCGAGTTGGCTCCAGCACGGGCTCCAGCATTCAACTGGTCGTGCTTACTGCTTGGCAGGCCCTGCAGCCTGGAGGGGGCGCCCACCACTCCGCCACGTTAAGCATCGGTTAATTTTAATTTAAAACAATAATTAATTATTACTAATTTTTTTAATTCAATTATATTTGGTTCGTTTGGAAGTGAAATTACCCTAAGTTCACATATAAAAATTATTATGTTCTATGATGAAATTATAATTATAAATGTTTTCAACATAAGATTGTATATTTTATCGTGTTTTTTTTTTTTTTTAATAATCGGCTAATACAAATATATTAAAAAGTCATCAAATGCAAACAAATTTTGAAAATAAATAATCTCTTATACGGTTGACATAAGCCCTCGGGGGGGAAAAGTCAACAGGAGAAATTACTTCGTTGAAGGGGAAAAAAAAAGGGAAAAACGACGTGGGTCAACAATGAGTGAAGACAATTTGTGATATATTTCTCATACCTTTTCCGTAAAAAAAAAGAAAAAAAGATTAATTTGTCCTGATAATAATTCATAAATAATTTATAATCATTGAATCAATAAATCAGTATAACTTAATTTTATGCTCAGCATCGGGAAAAGAAAACGGTCAAATTTCCCCGTCGAGACACGACTTTGAAACTATTATTATTAATAAAGTTAATAAATATGATTATTTAAAATATTGAACAAGGTTTCAAGTATAATTAAAACTCACTAATTTCGTGGTCCGCTTGACCAATTAATATATTACAATTAATTAAGGTATTTAGTTGAGATAAAAAAGTCAATGGCACAAGCTGGATTCGAACCCACGATCTTCGGCTTGATACGTCGCTGCTCTACCACTTGAGCTATCGTGACCTCGATCCACTAGGACATCAACCTCCTATCTCAACCCCACCTTTTGAATTTTCCCTCCTTTTTGCCATTTTTTTTAAGGAGGGAAAATTCAAAAGGTGCGGTTGAGATGGGAAGTTGGTGTCCGAGTGATGGAGGTCACGATAGCTCAAGTGGTAGAGCAGCGGCGTATCAAGCCAAAGATCGTGGGTTCGAATCCCGCTCGTGCCATTGACTTTTTTATCTCAACTAAAAACCTTAATTCATTGGAATATAATAAAAATAAAAATTAAATTTATAGGCAATGATATCAAACATGATCCTTTCTTGCATCAGAAATATAACCTCCACCTGTTTATCCCTCACAGTGCTGCTATTTTTCCCCCATTTCCAGTCGAAATTTTTCCCCTTTTTGCGCATAAACTTTCTTCTATCTCGTCTAATGGCTTTCCTGGAAGTTTTTGCTTTTTTAAGTGAAGCACAAATTTCTTCTCGGGGAATCGATCTGTGTAGAACAGAAATGCATTTTACAGGTTCCACAAGGCTTTTCCTAGCAATTGAACAGTAGGAATATTAAATCCATTATATTTCGTGATCCGATTGACCAAACAACTTCTCTCAATTAATTAATCTTTATTTAAGGTATTGGTTGAGATAAAAAAGCCAGTGTCACGAGCGGGATTCGAACCCACGACTTTCGGCTAAATACGCCGCTGCTCTACCGCTTGAGCTATCGTGACTTCGATGATGGCTTATTTAGCCGAAGGTCGTGGGTTCGAATCCCGCTCGTAACACTGGTTTTTTTTATCTTAACCAATAACTAACATAAAGAGTAATTAATTAGTAGGAATATTATACATTCTATTGTCTCTGTCTTTTCTAGATATAGTTGACAATGATCATCTGATGATACTGATGATAGTCCTATCTTTTTAAAAGTGGTATTTTACTTGATGTCCTGTATATAGAGATATTAGTTTTTTTTGGTTGAGTGAGGTTTTCTTTTCGTCCAATTAGGTTGTTTATAATAGAAGTATTTTTGCTTCCCCATGCCTGGCATACATTCCCAGTATTTCTTCTTTAGTTATCCAAGATCAGTTCTTTTTAATGTGGCTACAGTTTATGCTCCGAGCTCTTTTTGAACTAGTTTGTCTGCTCCCTTTTAGCGTCGGAGTATTTATCGACCCAGTTTTTTTTACGGTGTTCAGTCATTTCCAGTCTATTTTTGAGTCGATCTCTTAGTCTTGAAGAGACTAGCTGCCTGGCTGTCCGATGTTGTTATCGTTGCCCCGTTGAGATTGTTGTTTATTTCATGTAGGATGTTTCTATGGCGAGGAAATTTGTCCTATGAAATAGCGAACTTTCATATTTCGTAAGTTGCGAGTGTGCTTGAACTTGCAACTCGCCAACTTTTACAATATTTGAATGTTCTTTTGTATTCCTACGATTCTAAACTGAAACATCGTCTGAGAAGAGACTGTGTGATCTTTAATGGCGTAGATGGACTGACAAAGAGAAAAATTCGAAAGATCAGAAAATCTTGGAAGAAACTGTATTTTTCACTTTCCCATAAAATTTTCTCGAGAAAGCCTACGTACATATTAATATGATTTTTTTATTTTATTTTGTACAGCAATAATTAAAGTAAACACCGAGGAACAGAGAAATAAATTTTTTCATATAGAAAAGAAAGTGAAATTTGGTCTCAATTTTAGGTTATTATCAAAAATTAACGGTTTATTATTTTTAAAAACCCTTTACTCAAAATTCGTAGTATATTCTTTTTATGTAAGGTCTTGGTAGTGGCCATAAAAAAATGGCAAAAAAGAGGGAAAAAAGTCAGTGTCACGAGCGGGATTCGAAACCAAGGCCTTCGGCTAAATACTACCACTTGAGCTATCGTGGCAAATTTTAAAATGGCAAAAAGAGGGAAAATTCGAAGGGTTGTAGGTTGAAATGGGCAGTTGGTGTCCGAGAGGATCGAAGTCACGATAGCTCAAGTGGTTACAGCAGCAGCGTATTGAGCCGAAGGTCGTGGGTTCGAATCCCGCTCGTGACACTGACTTTTTCATTTCAATCAAGACCTTACATAAAAATAATAACATACTACGAATTTTGAGTGAAGGGTTTTTAAAAAAAGAATAATTAATTGAAAGAAGTAACTTGGTCAATTGACCATTAAAACATAAATGGATTAATATTCATAGTATACTTGAATAAATAAAAAGAATTGACTGTATTATTGGCTTTGTTAATATTACAACCTAGCTGATTAGTAATCTTTTTGTAATAATTACCATAGGAAATAAAATGTATAAACATAATATAGGTTTTTGGTTTTTAATCACACTTTCACTTCATCACTGAATCAGATAAAAATTATTTTGCATAAGCGTTTGAACTTATAATTTGATGTGTCCTCTAAACCTTTGATGGTGGGCTAAATATGTTTTATGTTGAACTGTTTTCATTTGAATGGAGGTCTTCTTTTCTGAATTCCCATGGTGCATTGACCACGCTTCTCGTTAATTCTGTAATCTTTCCATGATTTGGCAGCTGGTCTGCTGGCACAAGCTGCTTGAGGTGGGACCTGTAGGTCCTCTGCTTGAGGATGTGTTGATAAAGTAAAAAGCTTACTTTAATTGTACTGGAGAGTTTCTGCCCATTAATCAGTACGTTTTATGGATTTTGATTTTGACGTGAGTTTTCCTTCGCAGGCATGCAATGTTTCACTAAAGTACTTGCATCGTTGGCTCATGGAATTTCAAGGCTGTTAAAATAAGCTCGCTTATTGAACTTTCCGGTGGGTACCTTCTTTTTCTTTGTTTAGCATTAGGTCTTCTATTTATAAACGCAGTGGTTCAATATACCAGTGCCATAACATCAGTAAAAGTTTCTTTTGGTTAATCACTAGAGATGATAAAGGACGGGGTATGGTGAAGAATCAGGTTTGGGATAGAAGATAACAAGATAGAGAATTTAGATTGGCGCCTAAAAAATCAGTGTTGCCAACATACGGGATGAAACATGAATGCTAAAACATTACACTCTCCCTAAATTCGCGTGATTTCCTGCTAACCTTAAGCAAAATGGCTAAATTTGGCATTGCTCTGAAGCAACTTTAGACAAGAAAGGGTATAATTACAAACTGTATATGAAAAATTTTATTCTTGGGAAGCAATTGAAACAGCTGGAGTGGTATGGTGAAGAATCAGGTTGGGATAGAAGATACCAAGATGGAGAATTTAGATTGGCGCCTAAAAAATCAGTGTTGCCAACATACGGGATGAAACATGGATGCTAAAACATTACACTCGCCCTAAATTCGCAGGATTTCCTGCTTACCTTAACAAAATGGCTAAATTTGGCATTGTTCTGAAACAACTTTGGGCAAGAAAGGGTTAAATGATAAACTTTAATTGAAAAATATTATGTTCGCAAACAATCGAAACAAGATGCAGTGTTATGTTGAAGAGCCATATTGGAGATAGACGTTAACAAGATAGATGATTTAATTGGCGCCAAAACAAGCAGTGTTGCCAATACACGGGGCGGTGAACATGGGAGGTAAAACACTACACCAGCCTTAAACTCATGGGATTAGTCAAATTTTAGCAAATTTACTAAATTTGTTATTGGTCTGAAGAAATGTTGGGCAGGAATGGGTCATATTGACTTTAACTGTATCTCAGTTTTAAGGACTACGGATTAATTTAATAAAATAACAAAGTTTTTGATGTTTTAAACGGAATAGTGATGACTATCAAAATATTTTATAAACAGACATAACTTTAAATTGCAAGATGAAAATCGTCGACAATTCTAACTGAAAAATACTGCTTCAAAAAGAATACTCTGCCCATTATGAATGCTTTTCTCACTTTTTCACCAGACATATCTTTAGTGTACAAAAATAAACTTCATTCTATTTTGCATCTAGAACATCATACAACTAGTCCACATACACTGTACTTAAGGTACTATTCAGAATACCCTACATGAAGCTATCTAATCAAATATAATTTTCACGGATGGATCGAAGTTAAAGGGGAATGTAGGCTACTACAACCCAATTAAGAATTACAAAAAAAATAATGCTACCATCATGTATATCATTTTTAATGCTGAAATTTATGCGCAGACAAGAGCCCTTACTTAAGTTGTCATATTGGAATGGAATAAATTTTGCATAGTCTCGGACAG